ACCTGGCATACACCTTTCCTAATTTTAAACCATTCAATATCCTCTCTTTCTGCTTAAACAACTGCCTCAAGGTCCATGTAAAGATTCCTCATGAGCATAATTAAGTGTTCTAGAATTTCCATTCTTCACAATGTTATCCATAGTTTGTTATGATCCATGCAGCTTAACACTCTTCCATGTTCAATGTTCCAAATTAGACATGTAAAAGACCCACTGCTATTCTGATACATTTACATTGCAAATGCTCTGCATACCCTACCTTTTCTCATCACCTGATGTTGTTGCTAACTGCTGTCAAGTTGTTTCAATTCATAGTGTCCCTGTCTGTATAGGGCTTTCTAGGAATGGCTGGTGAATTTGAACCACTGACCTTACAGTTGAAACCAACCTGACTGTCCAGTGTTTATTCTACAGTGATGCCACACCAGGACTCCCATCACCTGATTGTTGTTGTTATTAAAGTGCTGTCGAATCAGTTCCAACTCATAGAACCTGAATCGGTTTTCTGAGGAGCAGTCAGTGAATTTGAACAGCAACCTTATGGTTCAAACCAAGCTTGCATGCAGTCCAGTGCATTAGCCCACAGCACCACACTGGGAGTCCTGTCTTTGTTTAGGAAGTACTTTTCTAGTTGTATAAGAAATAGTGATACTCAGTTCATAAATGTATAAACCAAACAAAATCCCTAATTATATTGGTAAAAATTTTCTTTTGACAAGAATATGACATAAGTGACACTGTGTAACCTTCAAGTAAGCAACTGAAGCTTCCTATCAATATTCAGCAAGGAACTGAAACCTTCTGCCAACAGTGATGTGAGGGAGTCACTTCAGAAGCAGATCTTCCAGTCCTTGGCAAACGTTCACATGCTTCTTGAGACACCATGAAACAACTAAACTATTCCTGGAATCCTGATCCTCAGTAATTGGGAGATCAATGTTGATGTTTTAAACTGCTTTATTTTGGTGGATAATTTGTTACATGTGTTGCTGTTTTTAAGTGCTATCAAGTTGGTTCTAACTCAAAATGACCATGTATAGGGTTTCCAATGAGTGGCTGGTGGGTTTGAACCGTCGACCTTGCAGGTAGCAGTCCAGTGCTTATCCTACAGCACTACACCAGGGCACCAATTTGTTACACAGTAAGAATTAATAACATTTTCTCAACTCATTCCTTAATTTGCACACACATCTTTCATCTCAATTCACCCAAAATTATTCCTACCAGTCTAGTCCCAGTGCATACAAACTGGGAGAATGAACTATTGCCAGGACTAAGAAGCTCTGGTAGTGTAGTGGTGACGAAACCCTATACGAGGTCACTATGAGTCAGAGCCGACTTGACAGCACTTAACAACTTCAGGGCAGGCCAAAAAGAAAACTGACCGATTTTTTTTAAGGGTGGCGAGCCAGAATTGTAGTTATATTACCTTAAATCTCTTGTTTTGCTTTCTTGAATTGTGTAACTACTGACTGGAAATTAGTTCCACATTGTTAAAAAAATCCATGTGTGCAGTACGTATTTGAAGAATTATGGAACTGTACATGAATACGGTAGCAAAAACTATCCTTTAGTTATTTTCTTAGCTGAAATGTATCATGCTGCTTGCATCAAACAGGTTCCTAGTACCAAAAGGTATGTGTTGCATACCTGAGAAACCATACTACATAAGAGCTATTGTTGTTGTTATGTGCCGTGGAGTCAGTTCCAACTCATAGCAACCCTGTACAGGGTTTCCAAGGCTGTAAATCTTTACGGGAGCAGAAAGCCTCACCTTTCTCCCACGAAACAGCTGATAGTTTCGAACTGCTGACCTTGC